GTGGGCGAATCAGTTGAGGCCAGGAGTTTGAGACCAGCCTGGCCGACATGGTGAAACCCTGACTCTACTAAAAATACAAAAATCAGCCGGGCGTGGTGACGTGCCTGCTACTCGGGAGGCTCAGATGGGAGGATCGCTTGAACTGGGGAGGCAGAGGTCGCAGTGAGCCGAGACTGCACCACTGCACTCCAGCCTGGGAAAAAGAACGAGACTCCATCTCAAAAAAAAAAAAAAAAAAAAAAGAAGTTACAATTTGTTGTACTTCTTATCACCATTGTTGATCCACAGAGTAGAACAGGGTCCTTGAGCACGTGAGTTTTGTTTGATGTTACCATCGCAGTGCCCAGCATACTGACTCTGTGCTTGGGTGTTGTTAGGATGGGATAAAAAGAAAGCCAATCTTTAGGTCCCGAGTTTCGTGTTTCCCACTGTAGGCTAAACGTGACGCCTGAATCTCAATATCGCGACGTGGTGTGTTCATTCCTACTAGACTCAGAGGAAGGCTTCTTGCTTCGAGCTGCTGTCGTGCTAAACAGCGGTGTGATACTGCAACATCCTGAGGAATATATATTTGACCTTCGTCCCAGGTTCTTTGCACAGAGTTCCCACAGCCCTTGTGATTTCCTAAGAGATGGGGTGAGAGGACCATCTTTTCTATTCATAATAAGCCACTTACAACCGTGTCTGGGTTTATGGCAGTGACCCCTGATGGGTCCGTAGATAGCTTCGGAATGGGGCTGGTTGCCAGGAGAGCCAACTCTGTGATTAGAGGGTTGGGTGGACACATTAGCTTTGAAGGAGAGTTGATTTTTGAGGAGGATATAAAGTACCTATTTTGTAGTCAGTGACCTCCTTGGAAGAGGGTTTTTTCTTTTTCTCTTTAATATCGCCCAACGTGGAACTTAAAGAAGCAGTAGCCATGTGATTATAGTTAGGTATACTAGATGTCTGTGCCATCCCTGCAATAAAGTACATCCCAGTATTCCCACGGCTGTGTTTTAACAAGGCAGCCCCAGATGCTCCAGGCGTTTGCCTTCTTTCTGGAGATTTTACCTTTTGTTTTCCTTTTTTCTTTTCACATAAGACCTGTATTTCTGATCAGAGAGGTTAAGGACTGTTGCTTATCACTGTTTTAAAGTGTGACCTTGCTAGGCCACCTCTGCTTATTTTCAGAGCCAAATTCAGGGATATTTGGTCCCACTTAAGATGGGTCACTGCCCACCTCTGGTCAGAAGTGTTCTTTTAAATTTCTGCATTGATCTAAAAGGCATGATACACTAAATATAAAGAAGTATAAGCAAATACTAGGCATTTAAAAATCTCAATTGCACCGTACCAAAAAATACCTGTGTGTGGTTTAACGTGTTTACACACCTTGAAAATCTAAAATTCAGACATTTTATACATGGAGTTCCTGCTCCTCGTGAGCAAGGATCTTGATCGTGATATTTAATGCCCTGTACCACTGCCTAGCAGTGGACCTGGCAGATCCTTCCCATCTTAGCATTCTCGACCTTAAATTTTGAAGATAATCAAAATTATTGATAATTTTTAAGGGACACATGTGTTATTATCCACCTCCTAACCTGTGCACTTGAAGGGGTGATAGATCAGTCCCTAGACATTCTGAGCAGTGCTGCTGGATACGTTGACAGAGGGTGAGAGGACAGAATTCACAGGACAAGAATTGCTATCACCCGTAGTTCTCCCTGTTTCCCTATTGAATATGGGGCTAGCGAGAGGACTAGGAAGGGAGTGCTTTGGAGGGGAATGTGGAGGATGGAAGGACGGGTACCACTGAGGTGCAGGTGTAATATGTCTACCATCTAGTCATCTCCTCTGCAGAAACACCAGGGGAAAGGATAGTTTCTGAAAGAACATCTTAGGAATGCCATGAAAACCAAGGGTGTGCATCTGTCCCTGTGTGGGTGTTCTCTGCTAATGAGTTTGGAAATGAGAATACCTTTGGAATAAACAGACCACTGCAACCACCCAAGAGGTTCTTTTTGCCCGCTGCCAAGATAGAGCCCATTTATCAAGACCAGGGGATTGCAACTGAGAAAGCGTTTAATACACGCAGAGCCAGCTAAAAGGGAGACTGGAGCTTTCTTATGACTCAAATCAACTTCCCTGAAAATTCAGAGGCTAGGAATTTTGAAAGCTGATTTGGTGGGGTGGGGCTAGGGAATGGGGCGTGCTGATTGGTTAGGCTGGAGATGAAATGACAGGGAGTCGAAGCTGCCCTCTTGTGCTGGGCTTGTGCCTGGGTGGGGGCCAAAAACCAGATGAGCCAGTTTACCCTTCCATGTGGTGCCAGCTGGTCCATCAAAATTCGGAGTTTGAAAACTACCTTGAACACCAATCTTAGTTTTACAATAGTAATGTTATCCATAGGAACAATTGGAGAGGTGAGCGATTTTGTGGCCCCTGGCTGCATGATTCCTGAGCCATAATTTCTAATCTTGTGGCTAATTTGTTAATTTTCCAAAGGTCATCTGGTCTCCAGGCAAGAAGGGGGTTGTTTCAGGGAAGGGCTGTTGTCATCTTTGTTTCAAAGTTAAACTATTACCTAAATTCCTACCACAGTTAGCGTGGCTTCCACTCAGGGATGAGCAAGGGCAGCTTGGAGGCTAGAGGCAAGATGGACTCGATTAGGTCAGATTTGTTTTTGCTGTCATAATGTTTCTATGTCACAGTTTTCTCGTGGTCAAAAGTTTTGCAAAAGCGTTTTCACTACGAAGTCCTAGGAAAACATTTTCTCTTTCTGTAAGAAACCTCAGGAGGTTATGTACTTATCTATTTGTTCTTCCGCGGTATAATTCTAGGTGTCTGCTAAAAGGTTAAAAGTGATCAGGTGGAAAATATTCATGTGGGCTTAGGGCACAGAGGCAAAGCGCCCGCCACCTCCAGCAGTTTTCACAGTGCTGGCATCTGCTGGCACTGTAGGCAGCAAAGAATATTACGAGTAATTCTTCACTCCCTCAAGTATGTTAGAAGGTAAAAATCTTCAAGAGAAACTCCAGATTTTGGGTGGGTTTGAAACTGCATTATAAGTTGGTTCTGCAAAATCCATGTTGCCCGTAAGCTACAGCCTTTGAAAGGAAACACATCTCACAAATTGGGCTTTGCCAGCGTTTCTTTCAGGGAAGCAGCTGTCCTGTTTCCTCTAAGAAGGTAATACGCCTGAAAATGCAGTGGAAGCCTCCAGGGTCAGTGATTAGACGGGTTTTGCCCACACAGGCTGAACGGACCCTCCGAGCCACTGGACGGCCCCTCGGTCAGTTGCAGCAGCTCCTTCGCCTCCGTGGAGAGGGGGTTCCACTGATTCTGTCTCCTTCTCCTCCGTGGAAAGGGGGTTTGGCCTCCGTGGAGAGGGCGTTTGGCTGATTCTGTCTCCTCCTCCGTGGAGAGGGCGTTTGGCTGAGTCTGCTGTTCTGTTACGTGGTGGGTTGGGTGTGGGGAGCGTTGACTTCTAAGAGCAGGGCGAGGCTGCGAGGAACCGCTTTCAAATGTGTAGGCCTGTTACACTGAAGCACTGGTTCTGACCCCGCAGAGCACACCCTGGACTGGAATTATCGAAGGACTGTTCGACTTACAGACCGGACAGACTCACTGCTTCTGCGCGTTGGAGTTGGGAAGGAATTCCATCCAGAGAGATTCTAAAGAGAGTCAGCACGACGCCAGAGGAGGAGAGAAATGACTGTGAATGGAGCCTGACTTTCCCTGGAGTCCTGACTTTTTTCAGGATAAATGCTTCTCTAGAGCCTGATATTCTGCAAGTTTCGAGGGGCTGCTGGCCTTTCTCCCCTGAGCCCCGGCTGACTGAGCTCCTAGATAAAGTAGGGAGGAACATTTTGTGTGACGATTACTGCCAGGGAGCTTTATCTGTTGCGAACGGACATGGTGAAACAATTTGCACAATATGATAAGAATAATAGCTTTCGATTCATGAGGGCTCCCCTGAAGCCAGGTCAGTTCCAGTGCTTTAGAAAGAGGACGGCGCTGCTAGTGCTTTCGCTTACCACATGAGATGGGTATCGTCGCTTTCATTTTAAGTATGAAAAAGTGGAGGCTTAGGGAGGTTAAATGCCTGGTCTAGGATCAAACAGCTAGGAAGAGGCAGAGCCATGGTTCAACAGGCCAGTCTCACTCCAAAGCTTGTGCCTATAACCACTGCCCTCCAAGATGAAAATAAAAAGGGGACGGAACTGCATAATATTTGTACAGTGTAGTGGTTTCAATCTCAGGTAAACGCTCAATATTCTAATTCTCCCCTCCCTCTTTCTTGCCATGACCCATTGGGAATTACTGGTATTACACATATAAACCTATAAAGGGCCTTCATGTACATTTTCTTATTTACAAATTGTGATTTTTCCAGCTGCTCTATCCCTGACAGCTGTTTTATTTTCTTTAATGATGGAGCAAGTTCTAAAATACCATGTAAATCATCAGTGAGTAAAATTAGAGTAAGTTACCAGGTAAAACCCAAAACATCAATTAAGCTGAATTTCAGGTAAACAACACATACTTTTAAAAGTTGTAAGTATTTACTAAATAGCGCATGGGACATACACTAAAATATTTTAAATCATTTTTTGAAATTAAAATTAAATGAGGTAGTCTATATTTTTATTTGCTGTGTCGGGTAACCCTGCATTAAATTAGAGAGGTGTATGTCCAAAGAATGAAACTTGGATTTGGCGTTTCATGATAATCCACAGAAGTTAAGGGAAAACTCCTGGGAAATGGGTAGAAGAGAAACATTGGGAAAGTAAATAGTTGAAACGACTTGCCTTGTATAATTAGTCTTTTCATAAAATCTTGCTGACGTCAAACGGTGTTTTCAGTCATTGATATTTTGTGTAGAATGGTAACGATTAGAACCATCTCAAGGATGATTTTGTCTTTATAAATAGTTCAGCTGAAGCTCCCCCAAGGTAGGACTCAATGCAAACCTTGTTTTAATATTTCCTTGTTTACTTTTTATCTGAGTGTACTGCAGGTCCTTTGAGGGATTCTGGAAAAAAGTCCTTCCATCAGCAGGAACTTGAAATTTTCCATTGCGATGAGCGTTTCTGCTCTGGAAAGCAGGCATAAGGACTCCTAAGGCTGTCCCTTTAATTCTCGGTTCTGAGCAGCTGACTAGACACAGTAAGTTCTCTACTTACTTCCCTAATAGCTCTGACTCGGTTTCACAAAAGCTACCTCTTTCCTTGTGTAACGAAACCATGAAGTCTTGAAGAATGCCTGATTTCCTGGGCAAAGGAGCTTCTTGAGTAATAATATTTAGGGGGAATTGAGGTGGTGGGAGTGCTGGCGGCAGTGGTGATGTGGTGGTGGTGTGTGTACTAGGGGCAGCGGTGGTGTGGTGGTAGTGGTGTTTTTGTTACTGGAAGTTGCAATGTGCTTGTTGTGGTGGTGTGTGTACTAGTGGCAGTGGTGATGTTGTAATGTTGGTATGTGTAGTAGCGGCAATGGTGATGTGGTTGTGGTAGTGGTGGTGTGTGTAGTAGCAGCAGTGGTGATGTGCTGGTGGTGGTGGTGTGTGTACTAGTTTCAGTGGTGATGTGGTGGTCGTGGTGGTGGTGGTGTGTGCAGTAGCAGCAGTGGTGATGTGCTGGTGGTGGTGGTGTGTGTGCTAGTGTCAGAGGTGATGTGGTGGTGGTGGTTTTTGTTACTGGAAGTTGTGATGTGCTGGTGGTTGTGTGTGTGCCAGTGTCAGTGGTAATGAGTGGTGATGTGTGTACTAGCTGCAGTGGTGATGTGGTGTTGATGGTGGTGTGTGTGCTCTTGGCAGTGGTGATGTGGTGGTGGTGTGTGTATTAGCAGCAGTGGTGATGTTGTGATGGTGGTATGTGTACTAGCGGCAGTGGTGATGTGGTGGTGGTGGTACTGGTGTGTTTCCTAGCGGCAGTGGTGATGTGATGGTCATGGTGATGTGCATACTATCGGCCGTGGTGATGTGGTGTTGATGGTGTGTGTGCTCGCAGCAGTGGTGATGTGGTGGCTGTGATGTGATAGTGTGTGTGCATCTGCATGGAGGATGGAGGGAATAAGGTGTTTATTTCCTTCGTAGAGTAATTTTGGCCAAAAAACTACTTTGCTCTGGAAATTTACTACAAGAGTATTTTAGAGATATATCTGTTTGTTGAGTACTGCATATTTTAAGCAACAAATCAGCCTGTAAACTGCATTGCAGCAGAATTTATTAAGAAAGAGTTGCACATGGTGTGTAGAGAAACATTAGTGGGACTTTGTGAAATGAAAGAAATCTTCGTTTTCGGACAGTATTTATAGGTTTTTAAGGCCCCGGTTGCTGTTGCTTTGAGTTGCCTTCGCTCTGATTGATGATGTGTCCTGGATTTGGTTACTTTTCCCCACATGCAATTTCAGATGTTTTTCACGGGGTGAATACGGATTGATAATATACAGGAGAGTAAAAACACACAGGAGAATTTTAATACACAATGAAAAGAATTCAGTTGTAAGCGATCTGAGAGCCCAGTCCTCTCACCCACTCTTTCATTTAACAACTCCCAGTCTATTAAGACTTTGCTTTACTCAACGATTTCATGTTAATCATCTTTTGTTTTATAGCCCTTTATTTTCCTGCTGGAATCGATATCCCATCAACTTCACCAACCGCCTACTCTGTGATCTATGAGATGGGGCTAGTACAGGACTGAATTTACGCCAGAGCAATTTGCTTTAAATGTTACCAGCTCTTTATCCGAAACATTTCTTCCAGCTTATTCTCATAACTTTACTACTTCTCGAAAAGCTGCTTCTCTGCTTCTAGTGAGTGGAGAGTGACAAGCGAAATGTAAAATGCCTGTATAGAGGATACAGAGGTTGGCTTGGAAGCACAAAAGTTAAATCCGTGAAATGATGTCAGTCAACAGGAGAAGTGTTGGCTGTTTTCACACTGTGTGGCTGCTTGTGACACAAACTTGATGAATTCATTTCCACCTTGCTAGCAAAACCAAATTGTTTCAGTGAGACCATATTTTAGAACAGTTTGGATCCTGCTGGTATATTCAGATTGCCTGAAAATCAAGCAAAATTAATCAGTTTTGGTGCCCTGTATCGTATGGTGATCTTGGACCCCTTTGCTTCCCTAGGGTTACCCTCATTCGGCTGGGTGGACGTCGTCCTTCAGATCATTTTTATGAATCCAGCTTGCACATCACAGGGGACTCTGAGTTCTTTGCAAATATTAATTTAGAACTTAAAAGTGCATTATCCCCCTTCAAAAATACATTATCCAAATTGTGATACCAGCGTTTTAAATGCAATAAATGATTAGGTTACTTCACTTAATCTTGTCACTGAATATAATTGCAGTCACTGAGAGGTGGACATTGAATTCTTTCTTGATGCCTGTTAAGACATTTTATCTCATTAAAGGATGTTACTGGTAATTAGGACACCTTGTGCTTTTCAATAGTTACATTTATTTTAAAAGACACTGTTTTCTTCTTAACTGGAATAATTTCCTCTCAGCGTGGGAGGAGGTCTGATTCCCAGTGTCCACATGAGGCAAATATGCAGGCAGCCCTGTGTCCACAGGCTCCCCGTCTGCAGGTGGCTGAAGCCAGGTGGAAAATAGTACAGTTGACCCTCCGCATCTGTGAGTTTCCATCCGAGGATGAGAAACCCATGCATAGCGAGGGCTGACTCTCTTTTAATTTGTTTCAAGATGTCTTTTTCCATTCTGTTTTGAGTATATAATAAAACAGTAAAAAAGCAAATTTAGTATCTGTGCAAACTCATTTTCTTGCTGAAATTGCTTAGACTTGGTCCTTTAAGGGAATGTTCGGAGAGCTAATTTTAGAGGTTAGAATCTAAGAAGACTTTTGGTTTTAGCTTTCTTCATTGTAAAACAGGAATAATAATTCCTGTCCTCATGTCTTCTCAGGGCTGCATGAAAAAATATGAAAACACTTTAAAAATGAAATTAATACAAAAATTCAAACTTATTTTAAAGAGTGTGAAGCATGTGAGGATTACATAAGACAAGGGACATGACAAGATATAGAGTCCAGTTCCAATATTGCAACTTATTATAGGACTGTGTTAATTACACTTCTACTGACACCTTCTAACTTCAACCATGTCTTTTTTTTTCCCATGTAACTCTTCCTAGCATTTGGTCTATCTATAAGAATATTCCTTTTGTAATTGTTTCTCTACCTATCACCCTGTTAACTCTAGAACTTTTAAATAATATATTACAGCTTGTCATATATGGTGGTCAGAAGCAGATGGTGCTTAAACAGGTAGTTGACTTCCAATTACTCTCTGAGCATCCGAGCACTCTGGGTGTCCGGCATGGCCACCCTGGGGGATAGTCCCCCTTTCTGGAAGAGAAGGTTGCTTTGTAAGAGGGTTTCATCTTTCCCTAGAGCATTGTGTGGAGTAGATTAGGCCACCTGCAGACTCTCTGCCAAAGCTCATTCATTTCTGACCTTGAACCCAGTGAAGTCCTCATAGACATCCTGAGGATGACTGCCAACTAGAAACGAGTCTATTTGGTGAAGGTTTTGTCTCTCACTAATAAAACATGGAGGAAGCCAGCGCTATTTATTAGGTAGCAATTACTCAAAGGCAGTGTCACACATTTATAGGAAAACTCTCATAAATCTAAGGAAAAGTGATTTGCCCGCAGTGGGAATAGATTAAGCAGAGATTAGAAACATTATTTCCTCCTTTTCTGCCTTACCTTTTGTATTTTATAAGAGGTTAACAACGGCTCTAAAGTATTACTCGTGAGTGTTTTATTTTTACTGGCAAAAAGAAGTTTTAACCACATGTGAAATTCCACCACTTACTAATGACGTCTGCCTTTGAAGCATAACTCTTTCGTTGAAGGCATGAATTATATTATGGATGTGATGTTGTGCTACATAAATGTGAATTTTTGACATGCTAATTTATAATGACTGGCAAATGAGAAGACCATAGGGGAAAGATAAGACTGGCATCCAGACAGCTAAAATGCAGAAGGATGATTGATTTAAAGATCGGCTTTAAGGGAAGAATTATTTTTAAAATGTGTATGTAAATGTGAGTAGGTAGACCTTGATTCCTTTTTAGATTGCCAGAACGATGAGGTTGAGGATCGGGTGACTTGGGAGACTTCGGACTTATCCTAATTTGACTGTGAACTTAGCAAAAATAGCAAAAACAAAACCAAAAACGGAATGTCTGAGGGAATGGGTATCAGCAAGGCCACTGGGCTTGGGCAGGGCTGCCGGACGTCAGCTGTGCAGTGTTAGGCAGGAATCTAGACCCAACATGGCGGTATCACCTGGCATGGCAGGCCCTTTGTTCGGACTTCCTGCCCTTCACTTCCTGCTAAGACTCTCAGCCTGTGAAAAAAGCCCGTGCCCGCCAAAACACCGCCGCTCTGCGCAAGCTCCTGGACACGTCATTCCTCAGAAACTGAAACCTACAAACCCCGCCTACCTCGCCCTATAAAAGGCCCCCGATACCTGCCCCGAGTGCAACTTCCTCGGCCCTCCTCCTAGAGGACCGGTGAACCTCGCCCGCAAGCCCAATAAAGGCTACCTCTGTTCTCGTCTGCCTGGTGTCTTCTTGCTCGGCTCCCCATTACATTACACGCAGTGTGGTGGCTGGTCTCCTGAGACGGTCCACAACATTCCACCTCTCTCTCTGCATGTGCTTCCTGCCCTTTCTGTCAAAAGCCAGAGCAGATTTCCCATCACTAGAATCCCAGCAGGCCTTGTGACTGCTTTAGGATAGAACGTGACAGAGATGTCATTTGGAACTCCTAAGCCCAAGCCTTAAGTGACAGCTGCTTCATTTCTCTTAGAATGCTTGCCCTTGAGATCCCTAGTCTTGGGAGCCTGCCTCCATACTGTAGGAAGTCCAAGACGCAGGGAGAGGCCATGTAGAAGGGGGTGGAAATGCTCCCTTAGATGCCCTGGATAAGCTCACAGCTGATGGCCAGCACCAATAACAATCACATGAGTGAACCGTTTTGCGTATTTCAGCCCAGTTGAACCCCAGACAACCACAGCCCCAGATGCTATCGCATGGAGCAGAACCCACAGAACTGGAGAAGGTGCCGCAGGATTGCTTCTGTGGAAGAGAAGCTTTTCTCATTCCCTGAAGGCCCTTGTAGACTG